CTATTAGACAGGATTGTTTTTTAAGGTTTCAATACTCCCCCCATAAAGACACTGCTAAAAATCTTACTGTGTCCTTGAATAACACTAATACATGTCCTCCAATAAAGACACTTATAAATTACTATTACTGCCTCATCTGAAGCCACTGGGACATTGCCCTATAAAGACACTGGTACCAATTACTCTCTTACTTCCTCATAGACACTAAAATTTTTAAAGACACTGATACATATTATGTCCCATGTGATGATGAGTAGCTGGCAACTGTTGATACATCCTCTGATCGTAGCAGCCTTGATACTGCATAGGAGGACTGACGCTCTGGTCACTGTAACAATCGTATTCCTGCCAGTCAGGCACGAGTCTCTCCTGGGGATAAGGGAACGGTGGGTGATGCGGCGGGCCGAGACGTTTCTGTGCGGCCACCGCACAGCTTCCGGTCGACGATGTGATCATGTTCCCGTTCTCACTGATGCTCACGGTCACGTTGCCGACGTTCACTGTTATCTCGCCGGTCTCCGTATTCCCAAGCGTCTGCGACAACGCCCAGATGTAGTTATGGGCGAACCTGAGCGTCTCGATTTTCGTCAGCTTCGTGTCCTCCGGAAACGTAGGCAGGGCCATCCGCAGACGCTCCAACGCGTCGTTCAGAGTGTGCATCCTGTGACGCTCACGGTCGTTCGCCTTTATCCGTCGGCTCCTTTTCAGTCTGAGCACCTGTGGGCCAATCAATGGGCATTCTTGGTTATTTCCAGGTCTGTCGACCTCTTTCGACATTTTCTCAACCCTTCACGATCAGCAAACAAGTTTGCCAACCTGGGTTTTCATCAATTCTATCGCGTTGTGGGTGGAGTGCAAGTTGAGACGCTGGCTCACCTGCGTAGGACTCTTGCACCGGGTGTTCCGTGTCCTCTTCCGCTTTTCCTCTTTCACTGCTGGGAACAGACAGTCCGATTGTACTTCGTGTTTAGGAGACTCGAAGCTCACGTCGAAACCGGAATCAGAAGAGCTCGAGAGCTCGTCGAAGCCCCCTTCACTGCAGAACGAATACTCCGAGGACATAGTATGGATTCTCTGAAAAACAGTTTTATGTCTTTTACATAATATAATATATAATATATTAATATGACATGAAGCTCACATAAGACATGAAGCTTGTCTCCAATTGCGAACTGTGTCACTTTTAGGGACATTAATTTGGACTGGATTTTTAGATTTCTTACCCAATAGAACGATCCTTGGTAATCAGCTAAATGAAATCACTTGACAATTCGATTACTATTTTTAATTGGAGCACAGAACACTTTTGTATATATCATGAATTAAATTTCACGGCATAACGTATTACCGTTGAGGAACTTTTGTCAGGTCGCGAGGAAAAAAGGGAATGAGAGACGAGAACCGTTCGAAGCGGGGTACAATTTGGTACTGGGAAAGTGGCGAGGGGCTGTTAAAGCATATATACAGTCCCGGGGGTATTTCGCCCCCTCCACGAGGCCTGCCCCTTCAGTCCACGGGGCACCGGCGACGGTTCACCCCATAATCAGAACGCAGGGGCACCTAACGCTCTCCCCACCCTACGTACTATGTTCGTTTAGTATGTATGTGTGT